CCATTTTTAAATTGAGTTGTCTTTATTATTGAGTTGTAGGTGTTCTTTGTATATTCAAGATACAAGTTGCTTATTAGATATTAATTACAAAATTGTACAAAGAATAAAAAATGTATAACAATGCTAATTTTAAATCCCCCATTTTCAATTTATCTGCTAAAAATAAAACTGTTAAGGTTTAGTATAATATAATTTGCCTAAAGTATATATACTCTAATTTACTTAGTGCTAAGTCATTAAGTTTCAAAATTATAAGGAGTATTTTAGTCAACCAGATATTTCTAGAGAACGGATTTCTCTTTGAAATACGTAAAAGCTTTGAACTGCATATTAACACTTTCCACTTGCTTTGGGTATCTTTTCATCAGTCTTTATTCTCTGGGTTAAGTGTAGAATTGTACATTGCCAAAGTACTGGCATCATCGACTCAGTGGACTTGAGTTTGAGCAAACTCTGGGAGATAGTGAAGGACAGGAAAGCGTGACGTGCTGCAGCCAAGGGTCACAGAGGAAGACACAACTGAGCCGCTGAACAACAATAAAACACCTATTTACTGAGCGCCCAGATTTTTTTGTTTAGTTATTTATTTGGCTGTGCTGGGTCTTACTTAGTTGCAGCATGTGGGATCTAGTTCCCTGACCAGGGATCAAACCTGGGCCCCCTGCATTGCGGAAGTCCCCAGATGTTTTATATATAATGTACACACATTCACATTAACCTTGAAAGCTAGCTTTTAGTGCCTATTTTATGGAACAGGCCGCTAAGACTCAGAGAGGTAAAGTAACTAGCCCAGTGTCACAGAGCATTGATTTGAGACCAAAGCTCTCTGACTCCAAAGTTAGAAGGGTTGCTTTCTAGGTCTTTGTAGTATTATTTGAACTTACAGTTATCTTTTTTGAGATTTTTTATAAGCTATAAAAGTAAGTATGTTTCACATTTTACCAGTTTGATATGCTTTTTGGAAAAGAACAGCATGTTTTATCACTACAAAAACAACATGTGTATGTTCACTGTAGCAAATTTGGAAAGAGAAGGAAATGGCAACCCACTCCGGTATTCTTGCCTGGGAAATCCCATGGACAGAGGAGTCCGGTGGGCTACAGTCCATGGGGTCACAAAAGAGTTGGACACGACTTAGTAACTAAACAACAATGTAGAAATACACAAAGAATATTACCTGTGATTGTACTTCAGGAGATAACTATAGTCAGTCAGTTTTTTTGTTTTGTTTTTTACTTTAATCATGAAAACTGTTCAGTTTTAGTTTTCATAGAAAGATCTTTCAAGAGGGAGGGGACATATGTATACCTATGGCTGATTTCATGTTTTTATTTGGCAGAAAGCAACAAAATTCTGTAAAGCAATTGTCCGTAAATTAAAAAAAAAAAAAAATGGAAAATCAGTAAGTTTTAGTCATAGTCGTGTATTCTTTTTTGGAGAAAGATACTATGATACTGTATATATCAGTTGTACGTTATATCATAATTTAAGAACATTAAAATGTGAAAAGTATGTATTTTGGAGTTGAGCAAATAATATGTATGTGTATATATTTTTAATTGAAGTCATACCTCCTTTTTTCCCTCCACTTTTTGTTTTTGTTAAGTATTTATTCTCCAGTACTATTTTTTTTTCCGGTACTATTTTTATGGCTAGTTTATATTTCTTTTTTTTAATGTAATATATTGTATTTAACTGATCTTTTGTCATTTAAAGAAGATTTTTCCCCTTAATGTTACTAATAGTGCTGTGAGTAAATGTCCTTTTACCTAAATATTTATGTACATTTATAATTACTTCTTTAGGATAATTTCTGAGAGGTGAAGTTGTAAGTTCAATAGGTATAAATGTATTAAGCCTTTGTACATAATCCTTCAAAAAGCTTAAACCAATTTATAGTCTAGCAATAATGTCACCTATAAGAAAGCCTCTTTTCTCAACATTGTATAGTAAAGTTGGACATTTTGAAACTTTCTGTTGGTTTATTAATTTCTTTGGATAGTAGTCTTTCATAAAATGAGAGAAATCACTGTCATAAAGTTTTCACCTGTCAGTGGCATAATAGACATCTTTTAACTCAATCTGATTTTGAAAGCTATTGTGTATCTTTTTATTAATATATACACCCCGCAAGAATCTCCTGTGTATTAGTTGTTTATATAGCTGCCACCTTGCCAGAAATGGTCAAGTAAATTGGAGGTAAAGTAGATGATGCAGGTTGTTAAGATAAACTATCATTGCTTTTATTTATTCCTTCAACGTCTATTCAGGGAAGAGCATTTGAAGTTTTTTTGAAGGTCCACATGAAGAATAACCTGTGTGTCCTGTGTGTTTTAATTTTAACAGAGGCTAGTATTACTAGCTTGAAACAGGCTGCTTTAGTCAAAGCTCCACTCATTCCAACTCTGAATACAATCGTGCAATATCTAGACCTCACTCCAAATCAGGAATACTTGTTTGAAAGGATCAAAGGTAATTATTGATTTGAAGAGGGAAAAAAAATGAGAACTGTTTCACTACTTTGAAATTTTATAAAGGTAACATGGGAAAGAAATTTTTTTTCATTATTATCACTAAGTATGATCTTACTTTATAAATACACATTATGGCTTCATTAAGGCTAATACTTGGACAAGTTTGGGGTTTTATATTTCATATGCTTAAAAATGGTCAAAATAATGTAGTTATACTTGAATACAGTAATAATTTTGTCCTGTATAGGGAAATTTAAATATGAGCTAAATGGGCTTACATGAGTATTTCATTCGTTTTCTATTCTTAAACCACCAAGAATGGATGCCACAATGACATTCTTTTATTTGCTGATCTTATTTCTTTCAGTTTTTATAAGTCATGTGTAAGATGTTGCTTCTTTATATTTCTGTTATAGTCTGATTGTTTGGGGAAAATAACCCTGGTTATTTTCCTGGGTTGGGAAGATCCCCTGGAGAAGAGAATGGCAACCCACTCCTGTATTCTCACCTGTAAAATCCCGTAGACAGAGGAGCCTGGCGGGCTGCAGCCTGTGAGGTCTCAAAGAGTCAGACATGACTGAGTGACAGAGCATGTGCTCGTGTATACACGTACACAGTCTTCTTGGGAGACTAACTTGAGAATCAGGGTATCTGGCCTCCCTGATACCCCCACATACTCTGTTTATGCCTCCCTACATTTATTTGGATACTCTGTAAAATGGTCTCATCACTAAAACAAGTTTTAGAAATATTATCTCACTTTTTAGATTTATCATAAATCTTAATTTGCAAGCGTTATGTTGCCCCTTCTGTATTCTAGGTTTAGACTAGGGTTCAGGAATAAACATTTATCATGACTTTTTTTTTAAGTATAATTGCTTTCTAATGTTGTGTTAGTTTCCACCATACATGTGTACATATATCCTCCCCTCCCATCACTGCCCCCAAGTCCCACCCCTCTAGGTCATCACAGAGCTGAGCTCCCCGCGCTGTGCCTCAGCTTCCCACTAGCTAGCTGTCCTACACATGGTAGTGTATGTCAGTGCTACTCTCTCAATTCGTCCCACCCTCTCCTTCGCCCCAGAAATGTTCTGTATAAGGAGAATTAAAACATATTTAAAACTAGACACAGGAGTCTGCTCAGCCTTCTTATACCTAGCACCCAGTTCTAGCAGCCATCAGTCCCTGTGCAGCCCTTACCCTTTCCATATTCCCAGCTACACCCTCCCTTCCTGCATTATTTGAGGCCAGTTCTATATGTCATCATCAGATTATATGCAAGGATCTTGATATGTATCTGTAGAAGAAGAAAAGGCCTTTTAAAAAGAGAACCACAGTGATCACACCTCATATTTTTATCTTATGAAGTATATAGCTTATATACATAGCCAGGTGGCACAGTGATAAAGAATCCGCCTGCCAATGTGGGGAAACCCAGGTTTGATCCCTGGTTTGGGAAGATCCCCTGGAGGAGAAGTGGCAACCCACTGCAGTGTTCTTGCCTGGAAAATCCCATGGATGAAAAAGTCTGACAGGCTACAGTCCATGGGGTTGCAAAGAGTCGGGCACAACTGAGTGACTAACTCTTCACTTTGCCTCATACTAACAGGATATTTTTACATCCAAAAAAAGATGTGTGTGTGCACATATATACAGAGTGTGTGTGTGTATATATATATATGTCAAGTATACAAAAATGTTTAACAAACACAGTGAACATTTATATGGGGCTTCTAGATTGAACAATTACCATCCTTTTACCATATTTGATTCTCTATATATACATACACATGCATTTTACATATACACACATATTTTTTTTTGCTCTAACATTGTGGACATCATTACTTCTCAGCACATGAGTTCCTAAAAGTAAGAACATTCTACATAACCGTAATGCAATTATCAGACCTTAAGAATGAATATTGCTATATCTAATAATCCAGTTTATATTCAGATTTCCCATTTGTCCAGAGACTGTTATATACCCCTTTTTTTTCTAACTGGAATAGTTTATGTTCACACATTACATTGTGTTGCTTTCTCTTTTTTTGGTCTCTTTGTCTAAAACAGTTCTGCCAACTTTTTTCCCCCCATGTGACATTGCCTTTTTAAGAATCCAGAACAGTAATCATGTCTTACATTGGATTTATCTTATTCTTTCTTCATGGTGCTATTTAAATTAATTTTTTTATATCGTGTATTTCTTCGTTTTAATGTTTTGATTGGGTTTTTAAGATGATGTGCTTTCCTTGCTGTAACCCCTTGGCCTGTTTCTCCTTCTTTCTTACACACTCTAAGCTTTTTAAATTTCACCTCTGTTGCTACAGAACTTTCTCAGGGAGGCTGTATGAGCTCATTTCGATGGAATAGAGGTGGAGACTTTAAAGGTCGCAAGTGGGATACAGACCTGCCCACTGATTCTGCTGTAAGTCCTCAGTTTTATTTTGTTTTCTCAGTTTGACATTTTTGTTATGGGTCTATTTTTCCATTATAAAATAAGCATTAAAAGAACTTAGAGGGAATTCCCTGGTGGTCCAGTGGTTAGGACTCACTGCTTTTACTGCTGTAAGCCCAGGTTCAATCCCTGGTCAGGGAACTAAGATCTGCAAGCTGCAAGCCATGGCTGAAAAAGAAAAAAAAAAATTTGAAAAAAATGTTTTTAAATAAAAAAACTTTAGAAATTAAGTAGAAATAAAAAATTAAAATTGTACTGGCGTCTTAACCCAACCACTGTTAATATTTTGGTGTATTTTCTTATTTTTTCTTTACTTAGATTGTGCTATTTTTAATGTTTTTATGATAGATGTAATTGTAAAATTTGTGTCCTGCTTTTTTTCACTTTTCAGTGTTTAAGTATTTGCATTATTACTCACTGTCATTTAACTGACCTAAAAGTTTTGGAAATATGTAGTGGAGGGGGGGATTTTTGTTTTTCTATCTTAAATACTGTCGAGAGTAACATAATGTATGTTTCTTTTTAATTTGGGGTTATGACTTTAAGAAAGATTCCTAGAATTAGATTTATGAGATCAAAGACTATAAAGTTTTGAGCATTTAAAAGTTTCTCAAAATTATGTTTGTTTTTTTTAAATGACTGTTGCATGTGAAAATGAAGTTTTAAATGCTGATACTCAAGAATTGAATATATGTGTATTTTATCTTGATTTTGCTGTTAATTAACTATATGAGGGTGAATAATCCACTTAACACAAAAGTAGGAATGTCTTTTATCTTTTCATTTTATAGATTTCATCTTACAAATATAACCACTTGAAAGCATTTTTGCTAATTCTTTCTCTGGGGAAAAATTTAAAAATTGCAATCATAAACAGATGTTTGAAAAGTACCACACATAGGTTTTCTTTTCTTTTTTTTTTTTCATTTATTTTTATTAGTTGGAGGCTAAATACTTTACACACATAGGTTTTCATGCTGACTTTGAAAAATTATTTCTTTGTCTTCAGATCATCATGCATGTATTTTGCACCTACCTTGATTCCAGATTACCTCCACATCCTAAATATCCTGATGGAAAAACATTTACTTCTCAACACTTTGTTCAGACACCAAACAAACCAGGTATAAACAACCTCTCCTAAAAGAATGAGTTGAGCTTTTCACATGAAATAATGTAGTGGGGGCTTTTTGTTCATTTTTTAATGTAGCCTATTTTCCTTTATAGATGTGACAAATGAGAATGTTTTCTGCATTTATCAGAGTGCTATCAACCCTCCCCATTATGAGCTAATCTACCAGCGTCATGTCTACAATCTTCCAAAGGTACTTCTAAATATAGCAGTTGCTATTACTAATGGTCATGGATGACTTGCTTTGATATTTCTTTTAAAATTAGATTCTCTTTATGAAATAGGTAAACTTCTTAAGTTAGGGGGAAAGTGCTATTTTTATATACCCCTTTTTTAAAAATTCTGAAAGTAATATATACTTAATTTGGAAAAGTATGAAGAAAAGGAAGAAAAATTCATTCCATTACTTAGAGGAAGCAGTTACTATTTGGTGTTTTTGTTTTTTTTTTTTTTTTTAATTTCATTTTGGTCTTTCTTTGTACTTTTTTATGGGTTGAAATCATATTTGTATAGTGTTATATCCTTTAAAAAACTAACATAACATAATTTTCCATGACTTTAAAAGTCTTCATAAAAACACTTTTTAATAACTATTTTAAAACTTCATAATAAAGATATAATTTATGAAACCAGCCACTCCCTGCAGTTGGATATTTTGGATGTTTCTAATCCTTCATTGTCATAAATACCTTTATGTATATGACTATCTGTATTTTGGGTAATTTTTTAGCTCAAAGTCCAAAAGTGGAATTCTAGGTAATAGAATATTTTCAAGGCTGTTAAAATATATTATCAAATTCCTATATGAAAAATTTTATTGTACCAGTTTACACTTCTATCCAGGCATTTTACTCTTAATTATAAACAGTTCTGTTGATGACCTTTGTGGTTATTTTGTTACCAGCATCTTTACTAAAGAAATTTTATGTAGACTAAATCATAAATTGTATCCTTCATTCTGTCAGATACCCAGGAGAGGATATTTCATTTTTTTTTAAGTTTAATGTTTCAGCTTTGTAAGTGTAAATAATTTAGGCCATTTAAAGAAACACTATCTTTAAAAATCATATATCCTAAAGATATTTTAGTCAAAACACTTAAATCAGAGTGGACAGGTATAAGGTAATCAGTAAACTGAAAATCTAAATCAGGAGCTATTAATAGTTTGATTTTAGTGCTAGCAAAATGCTGCCTTGTCCCTTGTAGATAAAATAAATTTACATTTAATATATTACTTAAACTGTTATATATCATAATGTATTTTATTTTATTAATTTTTTAAATATTTATTTATTTGGGTGAGTTGAGTCTTTGTTGCAGCATATGGGATCTAGTTCCCTGACCAGGGATCAAACTTGGGTCTCCTGCACTGGGAGTGCAGAGTCTTAGCCACTGGACCACCAGGGAAGTCCCCATAATGTATTTTAAAGTGTGATTAAAGGTTTTTTAATCTCAACACTTTTGTTTAAGCTGTTAATTTTTGGGATAGTGTTTTGTGTGTAGGATATAGAGGTACTAACTTCAGAGTATCTCCCATCCAGTCCTTCGTAAATGCTGCTCCCCTCGTGTGAACTTCCCAGTGTGTTTATTTCTGCTTATCTTTCAGGTCTCAACTTAAAAATATCTCTTCTCAGGGAGGCATTGCTTCACTGCTCTGGTTTTTATGTATTCGTTCCCATGGCACCCTGCACCTCCTCCTCTCCCATAACATTCATCACATGTTAGTTCTGAGTTTCCTGTCTGCCTTTCCTTCTGCTAGACTTTAAGCTCCTTGATTACATGGATCCTCTCTGATTTATTCACCACAGAAGTCCCACTTATAGCACAAAAGTAGGCACTTCGTTTAATGAATGAATGAAAGCCTGAATTACATGGAATTCTGAATTAGCAGAATATAAATTGATAGGATCCGCACTTACTCTCAGACTGAATTTTTATTTTGGTTTGGTTTAAATCTTGCTGGGTCTTTTCCTTTGTTCCAGGGCCGAAATAACATGTTTCATACGTTGTTGATGTTCCTCTACATTATAAAAACCAAAGAGTCAGGAATGCTTGGGTAGGTATTTATGCTTTAAAAATACAAGTACTTATTTCATACAGTTTTTCTTATGTTCGGATTCTGCAGAAGGCAGCATCATACACTGAAAAGATTTGTGGACTAAACAATTCAAGACATGGCTTCTACTACTGGCTCAGCACTTACACTAACCAGTTCTGCCATCTTGAGCAAGTCCATTAATTCCTTGGAACCTCCATTTCCCTATGAATAAAAAGGAAATTCAACCACATTATTGGCTTTTACAGCGGTGTCCCCCAGAGGGACAATTTGGATATATCCAGCTCTAGCCACTTTAAAATTTAAAAAAACAAACCAACTGGAGTCCTGTTTGTTCAGGCTATCCCATTTCAGACACAGAGCCTTCTGCAAAATATTTACACTTCCAAAGAGACTGACTCAGCATCCGTTCCATAATACTGTTAATTGGAGTGGAAAAATGGTCAGTTGAAATTATTTACTTTGTGTCTTCTAAATATTTAGTAATGAAGCTCACATACAGTTACAGTAAACTCAAAATTGCTGTCTTGTCATTTTGGTGATTTGAAATTTCACTGCTTTAAAACAATATGTGAAGTAAATGGACCCCAGCTAATGCTGGATAAATCTGGTAATGCATGGGCTAGAAGTCTGAGAATCTGGGTTCTGGGTGCATCTCTGCCTGCACTAAGTAACCTGAGCCTAAAAAAATGAAAAGGGACGAGCTGAATAGAAAGCATCAGTCTCTTCAGCTCTGATCTGCATGTTTCTGTTCAGTTCTATTTACACGTCCTATTTAATACAGGTTCTAGAACGGCACTGTCCTACACAGCAGCCACCAGCCACATGTGTGTGGCATTGAGTGTTTGAAACATGACTAGTTTAGGTTGAGATGGGCTGTCAATGTAAAAGATCCCCTGGGGGAGGAAGTGGCAACCCACTCCAGTATTCTTGCCTGGGAAATTTCATGGACAGAGGAACCTGGAGGGCAACAGTCCACGGGGTTGCAAAGAGTCAGACATGCTGAGCATGTACACATGCACTACAGTGTGAAATACGCAGACTAGAATTTAAAGACCTAGTATCAAATAATGAAGTAAAATATCTCGTTAATAATTTTGTATATTGATTACATGTTGAAATAATATGTTGGATATACTGAGTTAAATGAAATATATTATTAAAATTATTTTCAGTTGTTTCTTTTTACTGTTTAGTTTTTAAGGTTATATATTATATTCTGTTGGACAGCACTGCACTGGAGAAAGACAAACTCCTGTCTTTAATTAAACATATTAGATGCAAAGATTTTTGGGGACATAAACTGAAATTTATAAACAGCTTTCTAAGAAATTTATCAGCTTCCTGTAGCATGTATTTTTTTAATGTAAGAAAGATTAAATAAGAAACTCGTTTTTGTCAGGCATCTCTGCTACCGTGGTTCTTTTTTATTTTTTAACTACAAAAATAACGCATGCTCAATATAGAAACGTTTAAACAATACAGCAGTGTATAAACTAGAAAGTGAGAACTCCTCTCTGATCAGCTTGCTCTCAGTGCCACTCCTTCAAGGTATCCACTGGGTTATCAGTTTGAGGTGTATGTTTTTCCAGTTACTTTATGGAGAAAGTTGATTTTGTTTTTATTTTTCATTTTGTTTAAAAATATATTGTACCCAAACATATTACCTTGTGAGCTGCCTTTTAATCTTATGGTATAGCTTGGATATTTTTCTGTGTTAATAAATAGACTTTTTTCCTAAATTTTCTAGCAGCATTTGGTTATAGATATACATGTATTAGAAAGATGGAATGTGCTGTGGTTTTGTAATTCTTCATTTAAAAGTGTTTCTGGAAGTCTTATTTTTTGAAGTGGGGAATTAATTTAGCAGTATTTTAAATAGTGAATTTTTTATTTTAATTGAAAATTTATGTTTTCCTCTGAAAATCCAAATTGATAGTTGATACAAGCTTG